TTTTAGATAGTATTCAAAGTTTTTTTGTGTTCCAAACTTAACTGATTATCATAACAATCTGTCCAATATCTAAAGTCTTCACAAGGCCTTTCATAAAATCTCTTGGATATTTACTGCCAATTTCACAGTTACCAATTAGTACCATTACTATTAATGACTAGTGATAAATTTTTATATGTGTATGAAAGTACTAGATGACTCTCCTGTGCTGCAGTAGATCTAATGAGAATATCATGTAATAAACAGTCTTTAGTAACCTTGAAGTATCTTGGTCATCATTTGATTTTAACTATCCAGTTCCTTAATCATTAGAATCAGAATTACATCCTGATCAAAGCATTTCAAATTATGTTCAATTAAAATCTGGTATTTTATCATCTATTACTAACATTAAAGGATGTGAACCTCTTTGAACAAGCCAACAATGAGGCTGACGTCCCCCCGCCGAAATCCCAAAATAAATAGATGACACATATTAATTAATCGCACATTAATTTTTTTCAAAAGTATCAAGCAATCAAACCGATTATCAACTATACACCAAGTTTCATCACTTTCTATCAGATAGAATCAAAGTTAACTGGCCCCAAAAGCATCGACCAATAAAATTGCTTAGCTCTGTTTAGCTTTAGCTCGAAATGTTAATTAATAAAACTATATACCAAATTTCATCACTCTCACTTAATTAGAACTGAAGTTATCGTGTCCCAAAGCATCAACGAATCAAATTGCTTATCTCTGCTTACCCTAAGCAGAAAATTCTCATCATCGAACTCCATCAAGGCACCTAATAAACACCTACACCAAGTTTGAACATTCTAGCTCAATTAGAAGGAGAGTTATTGTGTTCCAAAGTCTCGGCCAATCAAATTGCTTATCGCTCTGCTTACCCTGAGCAGAAAATGCTCATTATCAAACTTAGTCATGGTAATGATGTAATGAAACTATACACCAAGTTTCATTACTCTCACTTAATTAGAATTAAAGTTATCGTGTCCCAAAGCATCAACCAATCAAATTGCTTATCTCTGCTTACACTGAGCAGAAAATGTTCATCTCCAAACTCCATCAAGGCACTGACCTAATAAACACCTACACCAAGTTTGAACATTCTAGCTCAATGAATTAGAAAGAGAGTTATTGTGTTCCAAAAAGTGTGACGGACAGACAGACAGACGGATGAACGGACAGAGAGAGAGAGAGAAAAATGGGGTTTAACTTAACTCGACACAAACTAGGTCATTTCGGGACTAATATATGGTTTAATATTTTTATTTCAATAATTCGCTTGCGTGTAGGGGTCTTTAGCAGTGGGAGGAATCCTGAGGACCCAAAGAAAACCTACGAGGTTGGACAGGCGACCCTACTCCTTGTCACGTACAACTGGGGAATCGAAACCCCACGAGTTGACTCACTGACAGACCGTACGATACAGCGTGCGCGTGCTAAGCATTCGGCCATCCAACCCTCCTTCGGACGGACAGACAGACAGACGGACGAACCCACTTTAATAGTCCCCTGCTTTCTTCGAAAGGCGGGGGACAATTAGGTAAAAGTGTTCATTTGGTTTTATCGGATGTGCTATTTCAAATAGTTATCGGACAAGCTCCATATGAGTAAATTTTCATTTCAAAGTATATGCATCAATTGATATACATTTACATAAATTTTTACAAAATGTTTGGCCATTTCGACCAAAGAGGATTTGGGTTGTTTTGGTTAATCTCTGTTTTGAACTTCTGGCCATGCTCCTTTATATCATCTGCAGAGGATGCTGAATGTTGTGAAATTTTCAATTCATCAAATCAGTGTAAATTCTGAACAGAATTTAACCATTTAGAGATTCAACTTTCACAATATTGTAGTTTTCTTGGGATTCAAAATACCTCAAATGTTGATCAGAGACTTTACCTCAACATTGACTCATTGCTACTCAGTTGTTGGAACCATTTACAAGTGCTTCTTTTTTTATTTTTGTCTTCATGTTAAGATTGTTTGTGCTTAAGGCAAGAAAATCATAATTAGAGAAAATGAGTTTTGTTACCATATTTTTGCTTTAACAAAACCCTTTTTTAAAAGAAATTTTTCTTAAAGTTAAAGAGGCATTATTCAAGAGCTAAATTTGCCTATTGCAGGTCTTTCTTTAGGCCTTAAATGTTATATGAATTATTAATTAGACATTTATTAACACGACAAGACCATAATCTACTCAAGATTTTAACTAGATTAGGACGGTTCGACCATTTAATGATTTAATTTAAAAATGGAGGGGCGAGTACTGTGGTTACGATAATAAACAATCAATGCACACATATTGTCAAAACTGCAAAAAGTGATAACTTGGCTCAGAATAAAGTAATTTGAATGAAATTTTCATTATATTCATTTTGCATTATCTATTTTTGAACTATTATAGCAAGAATGGACAGCTCTTTATCTAAATCTTACATAATGTATCATTAATAGAGATAAGGTAATGGCCTGTGTCAATGGAAAACACTTTTCCATATCCTTTATCACAATCTTCATTTCACCTAAACATTGTACCTAAACATATCCTCTAACAATTATAGAAATATTGTGAGAAAAACCTTCCACATTAAGCTATTATACTTATACTATGCTAAAAAAACCAATCCCCTTATCTTGAATAACTTGTGATGTCCTATTTAAATGTAATTAAAATGTAATTAAATTGAAATAAAAAACAACCATATGAACTTCAAAAGTAGAAAAGAAGGTCAAAACTCAATTTAATTTCATTTTGGCATGGGACATTTATTGCATATGAAGTTAATTAAGAAGTCAATCAAATTAACATTTCTGTGCTTTGGATGATAATTGTCAGTTTGAATAGTTCCAGGTCTTGAAGTTACAACAGAAGAATGGTTTTTTTTATGCTACTATACAGCTTCCCCCCTCATTAAATTGATAATTAAAATACTTTGTTCACAAGAATGCATATCTGCAATAGCATTGGCGATACAGGTGTTATTTTAATGCATAAGAATAGGATACTCTGAATAACAAAGGAAACATTATCATTATAACCGTATTTGTTTTTTAAATTTTCATTTTGAGACTGGTTTTCACAGTGATTTTATAGTTAAGTTTGAATCCAGTTAAAAATTCACACATACATTGTATATATAAATAAATAGTAGACGAAATTGATTAGTCATGATTGGTGGTGTTGCAATATGAATTAGGTGGCCTCAAATTTGCATAAAGGAAAACTTGTCCACATGAAGATTTTATCCCCCCCTCCCATAAATTATAACTTATAAATATCCAAAGTATCTATGTTCATGTATTATAATAAGTGGAAAGGTGTCCAAAATTTTACTTCAGATATTAAGCCCAATGTTAACGCAACATCAGTTTCTTTAACATCACACATAAACTGGTTTGATGATTTGGGAGTGACAATATCTTATAGTTTGAGGTAAATGATAAATTACCTGTTAATGGCACAAGACATATATATACAAAGAACTTGATGCCCTACTTATAATAAATCACATGACTAGCTAGACTATAAGATTTATAATAGACTTTGATTACTTCATCATACAGATACCAGAACTCTTCAGATCAATGGAAAAAATGGATTAAAATCCATTACAAAATATCTGTCAATATCAGACACTTGAAGACTGGTGTTATTATTGATAATTTTTCAGGAAAATTTTTGTCTAAATTCATTTATTACAGAAACCCAGTGGAAATGAAATAAATCAAAATAGATCAAAACAACAACTATCAGTATTGCACAATTAAGCTTGCAAGTAAAACATTTTTTCTGGCTGACTTATAATAAAACAGGTACAAAAATCCATTTAATTGTTTATAAGAACATTTTACATGAATTAGTCATTCACACATTTTTATCCTCCACTTACTCTTTGTTGATTTAAGTGGCCCATGTGAATCTGGAAACCAAAATCTTAAATTAGATCAAGTGTACTTAACTTTAAATTGCTAATTTGATATAGTTTTAACTATATCAAATTAGCAATTAATTTTATTTTAAGACAGTGCATGAATTTAATGTTCAGTATTATTATAAACAAAAAGGATTTTAAATTAATCATCAGGGCTGACTGTTCGTCTTATATAATACTGAACAGAAGTCATGATATGGTCAATGTGCTTGATGACTCATTAGTTGTAAGAATGGGTTAGCACTGATGATTTTGAATGTCTATACCAGTACAGAAAAAGAGCATTCACGGTTATTTTTTGTGGGGATAAATATAAGAAAATCAATCAGTCAATTTCTAATTGTTAATTAGCAAGCTACATATTGTAAAATGACAAAAATATTAATGAGAGAGATAGAGAGAGAGAGAGAGAAAGAGAGAGATGGGGTTTAACGTCCACTCGACACAAACTAGGTCATTTCGGGACTAACATATGGTTTAATTTTATTTCAATAATTCGCTTGCGCATAGGGGTTTTTAGCCAAAGTTTAGCAGTGGGAGGAAACCGGAGGACCCAGAGAAAACCCACGAGGTTGGACAGGTGACCCTACTCCTTGTCACGTACAACCGGGGATTCGAAACCATGCCAGTCGACTCAATGACAGACTTTATGATACAGCGCGTGCACACTTACCATTCAGCCATCCAACCCTCCTTAATAATGAGAAAGACAGGTTGCCCAGCAATGAAACATAGAATGGCAGCTGTTAAGTCATCCAAGCAATGATCCTTGTTTCTTAGCCTCTATAGGTGATTAGAGCATTTAGGAGAGAACAAATGGGATCAAGGACAACAACCCATAAGTAATTATTGGAAATTGTTATAATCTAATATAATTCTTTATGGTCCTAATGTAACTTTATCTTCCAGAAACTCCACAAGATCTGTCATAGTACTCAAGGAGAATAACTCAGTAAGCAATTAACAGGAATTGTATACAAATGGCTTTAAACGATGAACAAATGATGATTATGTTATGATCTGTTAAGTAATTTTCAATATTAGAATACTACTTACCTGAATAAGGGAAACTTGAGTTGAAGCTAAACGTCGAGTACTGAGATTTTTTATTTGGGCCCAAACAGGTATCGCCTCTTTTATTGTATATCCCTTACGATCTAATTTGACAGATGCTGTGACAGTCCCTGATATACAGCACCATGAACCAACTGTTTCAAATGTGTCATTTTCAACAGGCAGCTAAAAAGATCCAAAGTAAGACAATTTAGACAATTATAGGGAAAACTAGAACAATATGGTAAGTGCAGCAGCTCTGGATCTAATAATTAAAATTGGCAAGTTCTGTATTCACAATCAATTTTAATAGGCAGCTGCAGGTTCAGAAACACTGTATTTGCTTTCCATTTATTAATTAATGGACAAAAACATAACATAAACAGCACTGTCATTAGGTATGGTAAATGTATCAAACAAATTTCGAAACATCAATCTGGTACAGTAAGCTTATATATAATCGCTTTATTCTGAAGTTAAATTTTAAAAAAAATAAACCTAAATGACCTGTTCTACGTAATTGCAATTTTGATTTTTCTACCAAAATGTTTTATGAAATAATATAAAGAAATTGCTACTATTGATAAATGTTTCAAAGGCAATGTTTTAGTACCTCTTAACATCTGTTTTCATATAAAAGGTTCGCAAGTATGAATAATAAATATCTCTAAACTTTTATGGAATCAACAGTGCATACCATATAAATTGTACTGTTACTTCTCATAAAATGAAACAGAAGTTATTTGAAGAGGTAAATTTAGATTTTGTATGTTTTGGTGGCACAGATATACCTTACATCATTAATGTAGTGAACTTGATCATCAACAAATAAAGCATATCTTCCCCTTTACACCTCTGTTTACATGATACCTTGCATATCTCCATGCAGTACCTGACAATTCCTAATAATCTTATCCTGATTGCATTCACCACACACCTTATTTCTTTCCTAATCAAGAAGAAAGGTTATGCACAATAATTTTGATCTAAATAATAGAATATGTGACAAATGAAGTGGACAAATTTCATCAAGATTTTTCTTTCATTGGACCAGAGATACAGGCATTTGGTCTGGTATTTTAATCTTTTAATACCATTACTTTTTAAACTCTTGCACAGTTCAAAAGATTTGTGGGTGTCATGCATGAAGTTGAATATGTTTACACTTTCTGAAACAACTAATACTATCCATATCTCAATGACTGATTGAGGGAGAGACCCAGTTGCATTGAGTGTCAATAATGTATATCCAGAATACTGGATATTACTTTGCTATTGGAAAGTCCATCTTAACATGTTCCAGAGGTAAAGTCTGATTTTTTTTTTTAATTTTATCATCCGGGATTTATGGACCTGTTTATAGTCCAACCTTCGACGATGGGTTGTATGTTCAATTTAGTTGGGGGTGTAAGATGTAAGATTGAACAAACAATAATTCCACAACTCATTTCTTCTTGGTATAATCTTATATTCTGTAACAATACTTAAATAACAATATATATACAATAATGACCCACAGGCTAGGTAACTTAATAAGGAACAGCATCTAAGAAATAACTTATAAGAGACCTGCCCTTCAGTCTGTCCTGCTGCCTGCCTGTGGTCAACTCGCCTTTTTTTTGCAATATACAATTTTCAGGATTTTTATAGCTTTAGCTTTATTTCTTAGTAACCCTAACTTTATAATCTTAAATACATTCATGTCTACTGGATTAACTGGACAATAGATAGTAATTTATGAAACAATGTCTCTATAATATAATTACAGAGTTGACTTTGATTAGGCTTCACGTTAATCTGTAATGTTTACCTGGTCATATTTTTAAGATTAGTTCAAAATTTGATATAGTGTTTCAAAAATCTTATACAAAGAATACAAAGAATTTTGCTACATTGCTATATTTTGTGTAGTATAAAATCTTTGCAAGAATTTAATGACTATCTTATCTAACATAATCAATGGTTATACATAAACTATGGTACATGTTGAACCATATGGTATATGTATCATGTTACTGAGTAAATGTCTTTTAACTTCGAACTTCATGTTTTTTTCTTGCATAGTTTACTAGTATTACCACTCTGTTCCAAGGACAGCCTTAGCAAATATTTCTGTTTTTTTAAATAGTTTTCAGAGTTTTAATTTGTTGTTTAAAGGAATTGAGACAAATTAATGTTTAAGAATATATTTTTTCAGATATAATTATTTAATACAACTGGAGTTTTAGTTAACAAGTTTTCCCCAAATCCATTTTACAACTTCTCATTGTTTTGTACTTACAGCAGCATCAGGCTCTGCATTGAGATCTAGAGATCCTATCACAGCAAATTTACTTGTTCTTTCATGATGAGGTCCACCGGGTGAATAGATTGTCATACGCACAAAATAACGTAATCGTCCATGTTTTCCTTTAAATGAAGACGGTAACTTGGATGGAAGAGAAAATTCAAATGGAAAATAATGTGAGCCTGGATGTAATAATCCTTCATCTTCTATCTTTTTTTCACCTAAAAAAACAAAATACCCAAAGAAATGAAAAATGAAATATCAAGACTGAAACCCTGTACTGATAGCTAAACCCAGTTCACGTAATAAACACAATTCTGTAAAGTTCATTACAAATACTGACATTTTGAATGAAAATATTTTGTCAGTTGGAAGATCAACAGCCATGTTTTTCCTCAATTTACCCAAAGTTTTCGCAAGAGGTATTAATCTTTATTGTTGTACAATAACCTTTACCCAAAAAACAGTTTTTATCACCCAGATGATAAGAATCCCTAATCCATGAAATTATAAGCTGAAATGAAATGAGAAACAACCACAAAGGAATATCTTACACCTGAAACAAGACTTGATATTATGCTCAGCTATAAAAAGGAACTCTTTTTTTTTTTAAATCACCCTAATTCCCCAGGGAGCTTTCAGAAAGATAGACTTTGAGTCCAAGTAGTTTGCAATTATGGCACGTCTTAGGGAGAAGTGGAATGACTCAACAGGGAATTGGCAGCTAAAGAGAAACAGGAATTACTTTATTATAGAACTGTAAACAGATTCTATGGTAAATCACTCTTGTTTCAAAGGTCTACAAACTTTATATCTGTCTTCATCAAGGCAGTCATTCATAAAAAAAATAGCTGTCTGATACCCCACTACTTGCCAGCCATTACTGCCAAATGCCTTTCATTGTTATGGGAAAGATTAATTTTGACAATTTCTGCAGTTTGACCACACAATATATTTTTCCCCCATATATTCTATCAATTCTCTCACCCCAGAGTATTGTTTTGTAGGGATTTTATGCATAAAAATGTCTGGTACATGTTAAATGAGATGTTTATCTAGTTTTTCTTTAAACCCTACATTTTCTTTTAAAGTGCTGTCATTTTAAAATTTCACATGGCTAATGCATTCAAATGGGAAGAATATCTAGTGTTTCTTTAAACCTTACTATTTTCTTATAAGTTATTAATATTATAATTACTAATACTAATATAGGATTTTAAAATTTTACATGGCAAAAAACATTAGACAATGAATATATCCAACTTCATCAAGTACTTAATAATTTTGTAATTACTCGTAAATCAAGACATTGACTTTTTAAAATTTGATTAATTAAAGGGTAATTTGAAATCTCTCCCATGCTTTATACTTTCCACATATAAAGGAATCTTTAATGATTTGAATAGTAATTAATGCGAAATTGGAACTAGAAACACATATAAGATTTACTTAGATTGTAAAATTATCTTAAGAGAGTCTGTGATTTGCTTTTAATCTAGCTTACTGCAATTGTAGACTGAAATAATTGAAAACTATCTTGCTAGTGATATTCATAATTTTATTTTTTCATTTCAGATAACAAAACCTAAACAATTATAGTTGTGTCATTGATATATACTGAGCGCCATGGAAAACGCATCACTTAGTTTTTCGTATAACAAAATGATCCTGTAAACATATCTTATTTACTTTGCTTCTTATTGTGAACAATATTCAAATGGGAACACATCAGTAACAACACATTTGTACACTTATGGATGTTTAATCTGTAATCAAGGGTACAAAGTCAGATGGGTCAAAACCAAAAGTACCACACAGATGTCAGTAGCGCGTGTGTCCTCCACTGGCCATCATCACGGTAGGCTACAGCATTAACGCGACCCCTGCAAATGTGTAGGGCGGTTCGGTGATGAAATGTGAAGCCTCCCCACACCATTACACTTCCCCCACCCCATTGATTCGTTTTGAAGACGCAGCAGTCTGCAAGACGTTCCCCAATACGTCTCCACACACGTTGACGGCCATCAGTGTGATAAAGATGAAAGCGACTCTCATCACTGAATAGCACACTTTGCCAGTCTACTCTTCTCCATGTCTGGTGTCCTTGAGCCCATATCAAACGCCGGGACGGTGATGATCCCTGAGGATAGCTCCAACATAAGGTCGTCGTGCACGGAGTCCTACTTCTCTTAGACAACGTCTTACGGTGTTGGCACTTACTGGTCCTTGTTTTCTGACGACTGCTGCACCTGTTCGAGTCGCTGGGCGGAATCTGTCACGCAGATGAGTGACCCGGATGTAGCAGTCTTGAGTCTGGGTTGTAACGCGTTGTGGACCAGGACGTTGACGGTCACGTGTTGATCCAGTAACTCGAACATGTTCCACCAACCTTACAATAGTGGACTGATGACAATTGAAGTGTCTCACAATAGCACGTGTAGACATGCCAGCCCTGGACACTCCCATGGCTTCATTCCTTTGATTTTCAGTAAGTCTCGGCATCTCTAGCTCGATTCCTTCACACGTCCAACAACAACAAATTACGACAGATTGACGTTTCACACTTCATGTACTGCAGATTAAGTTGAAAACATGCTTTTAAAGGGCTCACACACAATGCCGCACGTGAATATTGGGTTTTTCATGTGCATCTCGTCCATTTTTTTTTTGTGCCCACTGGCTGATATTTATTGCGTTTGGGAGCATTGTGTGAAACAATAGTTCATAGTATTGCATAATATTATACATACAAAACCACCTAGTAATAAAATATTTGGGAAAAAAAAGTGATGCGTTTTCCATGGCGCTCAGTATACTTTGTTTCCTTAAAAATGCTGTGTCTAAATTTAAAAAGTCATAATACTCTAAATTAAGCACCTTTTGTTGTACTTTTAGATTTTATACAAACTAACCAGCGGCTGCCTGGCAGGATACACCCTCATTTTGCAAGAGATGGATAGAGAACAAGCTAAAAACAAAAACGATTTTTTGTACAATCTGGGGCAATAATCCAGAAAGTTATGGTCTGAAATGCGCAAATATCAAAAGGGACTGAGATCTTTGGGATATAAAGATATGTTTTAAGTTTCATCAGAATCGGATAAAAATTGTGACCTCTAGAGGGTCCACAACCTTCGTATTGCATACTTTTACACAATTTGGGTACAAAGAGCGGCCATTTTGTCAGGCAGTTTCATTTCGATTTTCCCGAAATTCGATTTCAACCTTCATTATGGTGGAATGGTGAAATATTTAAACGGTTTTTAAAATCGAAAAAAATTTTGACCTTTAGAGAATCTGCAAGCTAAAAATGCAATTTTTCGAACAATCAGGAGCCATAATTAGAAAGTTATGGTCCGATATGCGCGAATATTGAAAGGAACCAAGATCTTTGGGTTATAAACTTACATTTCAAGTTTCATTACGCTATTTAGTACGAGGGGCGGCCATTTAGTCTGTCAGTTTTGGTCCGATTCAAACTCAACCATCCTTAGGGTGTAACTGTGATATATTCAAACGGTTTTTTAAATCGCATAAAAATTATGACCGCTATAGGGTCCACAAGCTAAAAACGTTATTTTTCGTACAATCAGGGGCCATAATTCTGGAAGTTACAGTCTGATATTTGCGAATATTGAAAGGAACCCAGATCTTTGGGTTATAAACTTACATTTTAAGTTTCATCAAAATCAGAAGAAAATTGTGACCTCTAGAGGGTCCACAACCTTGATATACCATATTTTTACACTATTTGACAACAAGGGATGGCCATTTGTCTGTCAGTTTTGGGCCGATTTTCACGAAATTCAAACTCAACCATCCTTAGGGTGTAACGGTGATATACTAAAACGTTTTTTTAAATTGGATAAAAATTATGACCTCTATAGGGTCCACAAGCTAAAAACGCGATTTTTCGTACAATCAGGGGCCATAATTCAGGAAGTTACGATCCGATATGCGTGAATATCGCAAGAAACTGAGATCTTTGGGTTATAAACTCACATTTTAAGTTTTGACAAAATCAGATAAAAATTGTGACCTCATTAGGGTGCACAAGCTAAAAAGGTGATTTTTCGTACAATCAGGAGCAACAATCCATGAAGTTTCGGTCCGATACATGTCAATATCGAAAGCAACCGAGATCTTTTGGAGAGAAACCTATATTTCAAGTTTTCTTAAAAATCAGATAAGAATTGTGACCTGTAGAGTGTCCACAAACAATTGAGGACGGACGGACAGACAGGGGCGACAGCAATATACGTCCAAGTATCTCATGTCATGAAGTAATGACATAAATTGAAGGAGTTAATAAATTAACAACTGTAGGACTCAAATCTCTAAATATTAAAACAACCTGAGAAAAGTTGACTTTACTACTAAATGAATTATTAAGTGTAATAAGAAGAAAGAATGATCATTGCAGATGTTTAATTCACCAAGCATCATCTATCTACGTCATTGGTTTAATTAAATTAGATTGAATATAATTATCAAGTGCATTAAAAAACACCCAATTGTTAATACAAGTAGGTACAGATCGGCAAGCTTTCATTTTATTGTATTACAAAAACACATAATTTTATAGGAATATTACTGGCATAAATTTGAATACCACACAGGAATAAAATATGAAAAATAGTGAGGTGTTCCTATTTGAATATTTTGTTGACATTTTATAAAGAAGAAAACGATTCCTATTCAGGAAGTGTTGCATTCATTTGCTGCATATAAACAAAGACGAGTAATTTTGCAGGAATATTAGGCCTACTATTGTGAATTTGATGTTGAAGCAGGATCGGCAAGCTTTCATTCAATGTATTACGAAAATTAGTTATTTTGTAGGAATGTTACTGACATAATTAAATATGAAAGATAGTTTGCCAGGCAACGAAACATACGCCCACAGCAGCTAAATCGTCTGAGTGGTCAACAAGGGTTGTCGCATATTTATTCCTTTATAGGTAATTGGGGAAATTTACAAGGCAGTTCCATACAGATCAGATTATAATTTTTGCCGTTTGAGGGTTCACAAGGTTCTACAAACTGAAACATGGGACTCAACTCTGGAAGTAATCTTCAGAAATTGTTGAAATTTGACAGGCTTTTTCGTTTTACTAATTTAAATAATGCATATAAATTTCATACTGATCAGATGATCACTTATTTCATTCAAACGTTCACAAGGTTCACAACCGCCATAACACTAGAAATTATTGACGGAAATTGCTGAAATTCAATAGATCTCTGTTTCACAAATTTAAATGATGCATATAAATTTCATACATATCGAATGATAACTTTCATCAATCGATCATTAACAAGGTCGAACAAATTTGAAGTGAAACAAGGGCCATAACTCTAGAAGTAATAAACGGAAATTGCTGAAATTCAATAGGATTCTTTTCTTTACTAATTTAAATGGCGCATGGAAATTTCATACAGATCGGCAGATAACTATTGATGTTAGAGCGTTCACATGGTTCAAGAAAGTGAAACAAGGGCCATAACTCTAGACGTTATAAACAGAAATTGCTGAAATTCAATAGGCTTCTTCGTTTCACTAATTTAAATAATGCATATAAATTTCAGAAAGATAACGTTTGGCGTTAGAGCATTCACAAGGTTCAATAAAGTGAAACATGGGCCATAACTCTAGACGTAATGAACAGAAATTATTGAAATTAAATAATTTAAATCATACATATAAATTTCACAAAGATTGGGTGATAACTTTTGGCGTTAGAGCGTTGACAAGGTTCAATAACGTGAAACGAGGGCCATAACTCTAGACGTAATAACCAGAAATTGCTGAAATTCAATAGGCTTCTTCGTTTCACTAATTTAAATCATGCATATAAGTTTCACAAAGATTGGGTCATAACTTTTGGCGTTAGAGCGTTGACAAGGTTCAATAAAGTGAAACGAGGGCCATAACTCTAGATGTAATAACCAGAAATTGCTGAAATTCAATAGGCTTCTTCGTTTCACTAATTTAAATAATGAATATAAATTTCAGAAAGATAGGATGATTACTTTTAGCATTAGGGTGTTCACAAGGTTAAACAAAGTGAAACAAGGTCCATAACTCTAGAAGTAATAAACAGAAATTGCTGTAATTGAATAGGCTTCTTTGTTTTCCTAGTTTAAATATTGCATATAAATTTCACAAAGATCAGATGTTAACTTTCGGCATTAAGGGCCATAACTCTAGACGTAATAAACGGAAATCATTGAAATTAAATAGGCTTCTTCATCTCACTAATGCAAACAACATATATTAATTTTAAAACATCTGGATAATAACTTTTGGCGTTAAGAGCGTCCACAAGAAATTGTGGACAATGGACGGACTGACAGTAATATACGTCCACATTTCTATGTAGGCATATAAAAATAGCGAGGTTCACCGATTTTTATTACGTAACTTTTTGAATGTTTTGTTGACACATGATTTTTAATTGTGGTATGAATCCGTCTGGTTAAATAATGATAAGAGTTATGCCCCTTTAATTTCAGTAAAATGTCCGACAAGAAAAATTTTGAAATCCCATCACTTCCTTGCATAGAATATGTAAAACCAAAATATCTTGGCAAAGAACATTTTGTTGAATGAATACAGTAGCTAATTCTGTTTTTACCTTTGATTGGAAGAACGGTTGTGTAATTAAAAACTTCTTCATCTGAAGCTTGTATATCACTAGATGTCATCCATTCTACTTTGGCTTCACCAATAGCTTCTAAACACACACCTAAAAATTGTCATAATTAATATAACAATTTGAAACATTAGTGTGTTAACTGTTTTAAAAAAGGGACTTTGTAATGTTACAAATTTTGTTATGTTAAAAATTTAAATAGTACTGATAATACACTTTGACAAATTGGATTTATCACTATATATTTTTTTCTGAATAATTTGATCTCAAGAGAAAATTTGAGCAGAATTTCAAGGACAAGTATAACTTAATAAAAACATAAGTAATGACTCATTTTAACACCAATCCAATGAGTAGACTAGCTTACATGAGATGTTGTTATTTATTCAATAGCCAGTACATGCATACATGCAATAACCCATTTATTTTTTGCATCTGATGAAGCTCTATCTTATTGAAAAAGGTAAATAATAGAGTGTGTTCTCTGGGCTGAGGTTTACATTATTTCTTGAAAACCACTAACAAATGGTGGAATAATTCTTCTCAGCCACTTAATCATTGCTTGCATTAAGAAACGATAAAAAATCCATTGTAAACAATGTGTGCCAAACCAATGATGTAATTTACACATGAAAATTTAACAGTTCTTTGTAGACATCAACACAACCCTGTATACGTCCTTGAAATTAGAAATACAGTAGAACAATTTTTTTTAAATGTTATACATGTATTCTCAGCCATCAAAATTTTCATAAGCAAATCAAAAATGCCATATGAAAAGAAATATCTTTTATTTCATATACTCAAAATAACCTTTGTACATGCACATCATCACAGGAGATTATCTCTTATAATTGTTTTATTAACTAGAAACATTGACATTCTCTGATAATCACAAATGTTCCATGGGATCTAACATAAACATCTCTGATCTGAATATTTGGTCATTCATGTTAAAATCCATAATATTTTATCATTCCACATAACACAATCTTTTACGTGACTAGTCTGATCCAAATCAGAACCATTTCCAAAGAAACCAACTATCCAAGCTTCTCTCTTGTCAAAGAATTAGACATCCTTTTGAAATTTTAATAAAATCTTAACAGTGTTTAGTTTACCTGTACAACCAAGCAGAAGCTACACAATCTTGAAAACATGTGGTAACCAGAGAGTATGAACAAAAACAGACAGGTGAACTGGCAGGGGTGGCAAAAGTACACAACAAAAACAACTGGGAATTTGGTCGCACAGTAAAATTAAGAAAAGAACGCGATATATTTATTGATTATAACGAACATATTTCAATTTAATATTATAAAATATTAAAATACCCAGTCATTAAAGACAGTCTAGCTTCAGTACACACATTCTTTTAATGATGTGAGAAGACAGAAGTATAACGGTAATAACCATGATGAAATTAGTTTCTGAAAATTACGTTTCTGTCTTTATAGCCAACTGAGAAGATGGATAATTTTCTTTCATTTTCCCAGTTCATTCATCTTATATGCTGTGGTAAGGTAATAACTGTCTGTATATTTATTCTAACATAATAAAAGTGGAAAAATAGTAGAGAAATAACGAACAAGATGTTCTGTTACTCAACTAATCTATCATTAAAGATTTCTTTCCAAATTTTGAATGCCTTTTTTTCTAACAGTATTAATCTGATTAGCTAGAGACATTGGTTTACTTTGGAGAGAGAGAGAGAGAGAAATGGGGTTTTATGATGTCCACTCGACACAAACCAGGTAATTTCGGGACTAACATATGGTTCAATTTTATTTCAATAATTCGCTTGCATGTAAGGGTTTTTAGCAGTGGGAGAAAACCAGAGGACCCGGAGAAAACCCATGAGATTGGACAGGCGACCCTACTCCTTGTGACGTACAACTGGGGAATCGAAACCACGCCAGTTGACTCAATGATAGACCGTATGATACAGAGTGCACAGGCTCACCATTTGGCCATCCAACCCCCCGGTTTACTTTGGAACAAGACACAGTAGTATGGTTTAACCACATCAAATTTTTACAATAGATTTATGAAATAGGGTTTCTACTGTTCTGCTCCGACTGGGCTAACGAAGACGGACATACTCCATACAGTGTGCTATGAGGGAAATTTTGCCAGGACAGCGGTGCTACGGCCTACTCTCATATTGAAATAAAATTGCCAAGAGTTCTTTTATGTGCACACCAATGTGTGCACTGGACCTCGGTTTTTCAGACCATCCAAATAACTATACTTGCCAGGTCCTCCTTCCTGCCCTACAGATAAGGTGGAACCTTGCTGGAAAATTCTGATGTTCTTTCTCAACCAACAACTGTATCGAACACAAGACCTCAAAGTTAGTCTGCCAATGAAATACTAACTGATCCACCAAGGCTCCCAAAGTTTTTACAAAAAAGGGCAGTACAATCTGAATAACCATACCGGATATATACCGGTAACTTCCAGAAAGGAAATGAAGGAAAAAAAGTCAAAGTACTCAGGTGTCAACTGTATTGAACAAGAGGATACTATTAATTACCAGTAAATGCAGAATCTTTTTATTTAAACCACAGGAAAGTTTTACATTTTAAATTTATTACTTTTGGAGTACTAACTTATTATAATCTTACAGCACGCAGATAGTGTCTTTTGTGCCTTTGATATAGAAACTTGATGTAAAAATAAAGAAATGTATTTTCCTAACCTAAGATTTTTTTTCTCTTGAACTCTTGCTTTAATCAATCAGCTTCAAAGAACCAAGTTTCTGTTAATTTGATCATAAATTTCTTTTGTCTTTACAAGTTGTTTTTATGTTAACCTTAAGAGTAAATGGTTTCTTTGTTTGATGAGATGATTTTAATATATGGATATTCAGTTCAGAATTTAATTTGTAGATTAAAAGAATAATTTGTTTGAAAATACAGAAGGCAACTTCAAAGATAGGTTGCCAGGCAACGAAACATACACCCACAGCAGCTAAATCATCCGAGCGGTCGACAAGGGTTGTCGCACATTTATTCTTACGTAGATAGTGATGATCCTTAGGGTATAAGGAATAAGTATGGAAAGTTTTTAGTGGATCCATTAAGAAATGTGGCCTGTAGACGACAAACAAATACAAAGATAGGTTGCCAGGCAACGAAATATACGCCCACAACAGTTAAATCGTGCAAGGTAATTGGGGGCATTTACAAGGCAATTTCATACAGATCAAATTATAATTTTCGTCGTTTGAGGGTTCACAAGGTTCTACAAACTGAAACAAGGCTCTTAAGTCTGGAAGTAATTTACAGAAATTGTTAAAATTGGACAGGCTTTTTTGTTTTACTAATTCAAATAAGGCATATAAATTTCATACAGATCGGATTATAACTTTTGTCATTTGAATGTTCACAAGTTTAACAAAGTAAAACAAGGGTCATAAATTTAGAAGTAATTGACAGAAATTGCTGGAATTCAATAGGCTTCTTTGTTTCACTAATTTAAATAATGCATATAAATTTCATACAGATCGGATGATAACTTTCATCATTCCTGCATTCACATGGTTCAACAAGGTAAAACAAGGGCCATAACTGTACAGGTAACTAATCAAATTGCTGAAATTCAATAGGATTTTTCGTTTCACTAATTTAAATGATGCATCATTGCAGCATTCACATGGTTCAACAAGGTAAAACATGGGCCATAACTCTACAAGTAATTAATGATATAGCTGAAATTCAATATGATTCTTCGTTTCACTAATTTAAATGATGCATATAAATTTCGTACAGATCAGCAGATAATTTTCGTCATACGAATGTTCACAAGATTCAACAAAGTTAAATAAGCGTGATAACTTTAGACGTAATTATTATTGGAAATTGCCGAAATTCAATAGGAGTCTTCATGTCACTAATTTAAATGATCTGTACAAATTTCATACAGATCAAGTGACAACTTTTGTCATTTGAGCATTCACAAGGTGCAACAAAGTGAAACAAGGGCCATAACTCCAGAAGAAATTAACGTAAAATGGTGAAATTCAATATGATTCTTTATTTTACTATATTAAATGATGGATAAAAATTTCATACAGATCAGCGGATAACTTTCATCATTCGAGCATTCATAAGGGGCCATAATCCAAGAAGTTATGGTCTTAAATGCTCGAAAATCGAAATATACTAAGCAACAAAAGAAACGTCAGATTGGTATGTTACTCTGAATAGACGCATTGCATAAAACTTGCCAAATGTTTTTATTGTACATTTGTGACCACATCTCCAACTTTACCTGAGCAATAAGGCTCCTTCCCAAACACAGAATTGAACCAAGGAAATGTTCTCAAAAACGCAACCTGACTTCTGACTTCATGCTGCATGTGCTGTTCACCTGGACCAGCCCTATAAAATGCATCCCCATACCTGGTTGAATCATTCACCCTACAATGTCAGCAGCATGCCATGACTCACGACAGCTCAGAGGAACCAAGCGCTTGGAAGACTCAACACTTGTCACACTGCCAAGGCTGTTGCCAATCACTTCCAGGTCAGTGTTCGGACCATCTACAGGCTTCAGCAACGCTTTCGGGCCACCAACACCACGGATGATCGCCCCCGAACTGGTAGACCAAGGGTTACCACAAGGCGACAAGACCGCCATGTTGTGCGACAGGACGTGCAGAATCCCTTCACATAGGCATCTGAGACAGCACGCCAGACAGTGGGAACACACGGAAGACAGAGAACATCCATTGCCGTAGACCTTACCGTGGACCGATCCTCACCCCTCGCCAAACGTCTACGGTTTGCCCAACAACACCAGAACTGGCGATACAGGCAATGGAGAACTGTTCTGTTCACAGATGACAGTCGGTATTGCGTATCAACTGCAGATGACAGGGCCAGAATATAGCGTCGACGTGGCCAGCAATATTCTGACCAATGTGTCATGGAACGAGACTCAAGGTAAAACATGGGCCATAACTCTACAAGTAATTAATGATATAGCTGAAATTCAATATGATTCTTCGTTTCACTAATTTAAATGATGCATATAAATTTCGTACAGATCAGCAGATAATTTTCGTCATACGAATGTTCACAAGATTC